AGTCAATCGTGAACATTTGTTAAGTACGTATTTCATTAGAAAAATTGTTAGCAAATTCTCTTAGGTTGAGTCCGTCAGCTCATCCACCCGACCAGACGTAGCTGCAATAGTTCCTAAAGCCACCAGCGAATAGGAATGGAAAAAAAGAAGCTAATAATATTCATATATTCTAATTTTGGTCATAAACAAAACTGACACAAATACAGCTTTAAAATCTTGATACAAAATCTTTATAGTGCAGTAAACTATCGGCTAGAGCGCGTAACTTTGTCTCATGCTAAACATGTAATCTATTTCCCATGCACGCCAAAATAAGTATCACATCAACGCTTGGAGATTACTAAACTAGATTTGTTTAAATAATGAATACAATTTTTTTTCTTTTTTAAACTACCTTCTTTCTAGTCTCTTCAAGAGCTAATGATGCACGTGCTCAAGTGCTTTTCGAAGACCATAACCATACTTTTTTTAGCCAATCGCCGGTAGACTCAAGGGATATTCGTCGGACTCGTTGGCGAACTCAAGGGGGTCAATCTGAGAGAAATAGATAGCACTAGCTCTAGCTAGAGCAGTGATTTGCTGAATCTACCACCTGATAGAAGAAGATCACTGAGAAGATACAGCGAAAAACTCAGTGGGCTATGTCTCTGGGTTAAGTTGCATAAGTTGAATTAGTGCTATGGCTGCGATAGCTGTGTGTTAACCTGTCGTCTGGGTCGGGTTAGAGATTTAGTTAGAAACGACCACGATAAGAGGGTTACCGTATCGTGCCGTTTTTTCGAAGAACATTCACAACAAGACGTGTTACCGCCCACTATGAGATATGAGGTTAAAGTCTCAATCGTTGGGTATATCGCTGTCTCACCCTTCGGGTTGGGATGCATTAATGGTTTGCGACAGAAATTGGGATGTTGCTGTTACAATGGGCTCACAATACGCTCTATCTAATTATGCAAATTACTTTTTATATATAATACATATAATTTCATTACTTAACGGTAGGCAACGGCTTGGCTCTGTCCCTGGCATTGCTGACATCCATGGGCGACAGTGACTACTCATCGTCAGGCGGGCCGTATACTCGTCTGCCTAGAAGTGCAATAAAATACTTATACAAAAATTGTCTGCATTAGATTTCCACATGATACTGGTTTTGTTATTTTTGATGTTCGTGAAAACGTGCCCGGTGGTGCGTATTTGCTACTAAATAATGGTTATAGAAATTGTAGCCTCAAAAAAAAACCGTTTATCTACTAATTACATATGAAGGATTACTGGTGGCCCGGAGGCCTTTCCAGTTTCACTGGGACAGGTGGGCGAGCAAAGGCTCAGCCAGGAGGGGTGGAATTTGCTAACAGCTGCCCGAGCGCCTCTGAAGGAGATCTAACAACTCAAGAGCAACTGCTTCGCGAATGAATCTACAACCGGATCGCAATCGCGACCCGCTGAGAAGATCCGGCGAGAAACTCAGCGGGCTGATGCATGGGCTTAGGTTGCACGTCGAACTCTTTGACGAGTTCGACGAGTACGGTTACCAGGGTCTCTACTCCTGGTGTTAGAGCTAAAGGTGTCTAATGCAAGAATTATTGGATCTGATGGATCTGTAAGGACGTGAAATCAACGCGGCTATGTCGGTGTTCAAATTCATAAGGCAGAAACCTTTGGGTTTCTAAGGAAACATCTGACAGGCACATAGCACATGCTTATAGAGTGCCTTCATTATAGAGACATGGTAGAGACATATTGAATCGAAATATATTAGTATTTTATTCGGTTTTCGCGGGTCGCCTAATTAAAACTATTTTTACTGTATAATCTCTGTTAATAATAGCTGACCCGGCAGACTTCGTAGTACCTCAATCGATAAATAAAAGACCTAAACTTTTGTATAAAATAAACTTAAAACAAACAAAATGAATCCGTCCGACGGGGGACACATCAAAGGAAAAATAAAATTGTTATTTTTATATCATTCCGGGCATTTTCATATTTATCTACCTTTTAAACCTTCTCTGGACTTCCACAAATAATTCAAGACCAAAATTAGCCAAATCGGTCCAGCCGTTCTAGAGTTTTAGCAAGACTAACGAACAGCAATTCATTTGTATAGAGAAGATAGTAATGACAGTTTAAGTAGGTTAAATTATGAATTTGATTTCATATTGTTTATAACAAAATTAGTACATCCTTGATATTAGGTTTTAAGGTTAGGTGACATTCACGTTTCTATGGTTATAGACTATGGTAACCACTTAATGCTTAATATGCCTTAAGCGCTCTCCTCATCTAAAGCATTAAAGAACTAAAAATAATATAAAACTTTAATTTTTATAAACACACAGGACAATCCAGGCGGTTTTACTTGCTTTAAATTTGTAACTCAGTAAACACGTTGTATTCGCGGCAGGCAGCGGCTTGGCTCTGTCCCTGGCATTGTTAGTCTATGGGTGACGGTAACTACTCACCATCAGGTGGGCCGTATGCTCGTCTGCCTATAAGGGCAATAAAAAAAACCGTGATAAAGAATTGCTTGTGTTGCTCCGTGGATCGTAAACTCTTAGCCGATTTTTAGACCCGTTGGTACGTAAAATGATGAAAAAGCGAAGAAATTTTCATATTTATTACACCACATACACCCGGCGTTTGTAGGGTCGTATCATTTGCAATGATAAAAATCCAGACTATAAATTTTGTGGGAAATTTACTAAACAAATCTGTTCACTCATTATCGCGTGATTTAGAGCCCAGAGGATGCAGTCCCATGAGATGGTCGGACCAGATTCGATCTTGTCCGAACGTCAAGTTCCACGATGCCCTCCACGAAGCCAAGGATCGCAGCAGATGGTGGGAAATTATACATGAAAGAATAATGGAGCGAGGGAGTCACGACCCTCAGTAATAAGGAAAGCGACGCTAGGAATGAACATCCAAACATACAGTTTTTTGCTTGACTTTTTTAGATATAAGGTTTTTGATTGTATATGTCATCATTCTTTGACAATACATTCACCGTCCAGGCGGTTCGATTGTGGAATGCTCTGCCGGATGCAGTGAGAGGTGCTCCAACTTTAAGCTGTTTTAAAAGAATGATGAAGGAACACTACTTATCTGCTTAGTGCTGTTTGTTTGCATCATTATCATTTATCATTTCCATACTGTTGATTTATTATGTGTGTGTAAGTATATTAGTATGTATTGTATGTAAGTATGTTTGGTATATATTATATGTAAACGGTATATATCTGTTTATTGTATGTATATATTTTCTATAATAATGTATTGTCTATGGTACCCGCAGCATACCTGCTATATTTTTGTATTTTCCAGAATTTCTGTAAATTAAACGGTTGTCTGGAAGAGATCGCTTTTAGCGATAAGACCGCCTATTGTACAAATGTATCTGCTTTTTGACTGTTTTTTTAATGTAAATTGTGTTTTGGCGTGCAATAAAGTCTATTCTCTCTCTCTCTCTCTCTATGTCCAGCCACGTCCATAGTGACATTTTCTTCTGTCGATACGTTCCACTGTATTTTAGTCTTTAAAAACTTAACTTTAATGTTGAATTTACATTCGAAACGACTCTATAAATTTTCATTTTCCGCTAATCAATTATTATTATCGCGGTGGTCGAACCCGATTTTAGTGGAAGCAATTAATTTGTTTTATAATAGGTAACGCTTTTATGTGTGAGCCATTGAAAATTTAACTTTGTGTTTATGAAAATAGGTATTTTTTCTTATCAAGAGCGTCATAGATACGTGCCCGTGTGTTGCATAGGCTATTAATTATGGGGTTCTTAAAATAATTTTCACATTGAACTAGTCCTAGATATGGGTCTGCTACATGCGCCGTGTTCTTTTTTTTATTGCTTAGATGGATGGACGAGCTCACAGCCCACCTGGTATTAAGTGGTTACTGGAGCCCATAGACATTTACAACGTAAACGCGCCACTCACCTTGACATATAAGTTCTATGGTCTCACTATAGTTACAACGGCTGCCCCACCCTTCAAGCCGAAACGCATTACGGCTTCACGGCAAAAATAGGCGGAGTGGTGGTGCCTACCCGTGCGGACTCACATGAGGTCCTACCACCAGTAAAAAACGGGTAGACTCTACTTATACCTAATATGAAAACGGTTCGAGGCAATTGCTACAAAATAGTACGCGGAATACAGATACCCGTGAAAATTTAAAATATAAGAGTGTATCCAGATGTTGTTGTTGTCACGTCACCAGCCGCCATTACTTACGCCATGAGCTTTCCTCCACAGAGTTGTAGGTTTAACGGCGAAAGGAAAATCTTCCACCGAGCAGGTGATATTGCTCGGTAGACCGACAGTCTAGATGTTGCTGTTCGGAACTTTTATATATGGAAGCTTATCTTGAAAATGTCGTAAGCGAGATTCAGGCATCTGTCAAATATCTTGCGTTGTATGATGGCTACATAGAGTTTTAAGAGCACTGTTAGATATGACATGCTATACCGCTGGAAGAGTTTTGAGATTTCTCTGGTAGACAACGACTTAGCTGTGCTCCTGTATTGGTGAAATGTATGAGTGATAGCCCCTTATCATCGGTTCGACCGTAATCCAGTCTGCCGTTGAAATATTAAAAAAAAAAAAATCCGCTTCACTGTCGGTGTATTTGCAAAAAATATAAGCTAAGCACAAGTTTAAGCCGTAAAGCGTTTTAAATAATGACACAATTTTAATGTTTTATAATCGTAATTAATTAATACCAATATGAAACTGATTAGTCATTACGTGACACTTTCGAAATGAGGATTGCCTGACGAGTTATTCATGACACACGCTTCTGGGAAGTTCGAACAGGTCCCACGTGACCGCTAAACCGCCGCTAAAACAATTGGCCGAAAATTCGGGGTCCGCATTTTCGGGAAGACGTTCGTTCCCCATTTCGGGTTCGGGCCGGGCCGCCAGCGCGGGAGCGGAGATAGCGGACGGCGCGCCTCAGTATCGCGCTAGTATCCGGCCGGGACGGTCATGTGATGTCGCGCCACGCTCCGACGCCGGAGCGACACAGAACACGCTCTCGATAAATCGCGATCGGTAATTTAAAAGCATGTGTGAACATCGAACGCGGAACGCCGTACCGTAATAACCTCAGCGCTGGATCCCGGAGCTGTTCCCGCCGTTTTGCTGTTAGGTTAGATTTTCCGGCCAACGTTTTTCCGTATTAAGTTTGCGCGTTCCCGAAACGCGCGGTTTCGCGTTTCGGCCACTCGATACGGAACGGTTTCTGCAATTGCATAACAATGCACCGAAGGCCGGGCCGCGTGGAAAAGTTGCCGCCGTCACGGTTTAGCAGTGAAAATTTTTGTTTGTTTCACGTTTGGGTCAGTCGCGTCCACGCGGGCGGCGTACGTGATCGCGGATTCGGAACGGTTTCAGTGAAACGATACGACCACTCGAACTCGCGTGTTACGAAACTTTAAGAGCCGAAAAGTTGGTACGCGATCACAAAAAAAAAAATTAAAAAAAAAAAAAAACTTTTTTTTTTCTCGTTTTGTCAGACGACCAGCTAGCTATCTTGCTAATTGCCAGACAGAATCTGTTTTGGCACGGATACATAATGCGAGAGGGACTCGACGTTCGCTCAACGCGCCGGCCCGATTATCTGTGTAAACATTTTGCGTTCTTATGGCCATTTTATCGGTTACATTATCGATACACATTCAATTTTTATTACGAACGTAACGATTTAGATGAAGAAAAAAAAAATGCGTTAAAGTTACGTTATGGCGTTTCGCTGTTCGGTCACCGAGTGTTTGTTTTCTTAGTGCCTCGCTCTGTATGTGTCATTTAATAACGTGCGTGAATTTTCAGTTCACCGGAACTCGACGAATGGAAATGCCACTAGTATCAATTACTTCCTTGTGCGAGATGCCGTTTTAAAACCAACGCCCCAGTGCTCGGTTAACAAGAGTTTGAATTACAATAACCACAACACAATTGGAAAACAGTAGGAAAGTGAGACGACGTTGTGAAATAATCGAGGGAGGGGGTTTCTGAAAAACTTGAAAATATATGTGTTAGTTACTTCTTTTTTTTTTTGGTTATACTGTGGAAAGTTTTTATTAATTGAAAAAGAAAAAAAAAGTGAATTTCTACTAAATTCGACATATTTCATCGTCGTGACCACACACTCGTGTTTGTTCAGGTGAGTTTGTGTAATGTATTTTAGAGTTTAATAGAATGGCGCGAAGTTTGAAAAATTCAAGATGGCTCTCATAAAAATTAGAAGTCGAGTTAACGAGTTAACGAATTAAGGAGCCGAATTGTCTTTAATTAGTTCCACGATGGAACTAGCTCGTAAAGTCATTAATGTTATTTTCAATGAAGTGCAATTTAAAATTCCTTCCCGAAACATTCTTTCGTTACTGCTTCTCATTTTAAACTACCTACTAATCACGTACATCCATTGGTAGTAAAAGTATTACTCTAGTAGGCAACGACTTGCTTATTTTGTTGGCATTGCTGCTGACGTCAGCTATGGTAACCGCTCACCATCAGATGGCCCGTATGTTGTCTGTCTTTTAAGGAAAAACAAAAACTTGACTTTGATTTTGCAAACGAAAGAAAAAATTTAAACAAACATAATATAAATAAATATAAATATTTACTAACAATCACGCCACGTTAACTGGTCCCGTGATAAGTGCGTAAAGAACTTGTGTTACAGGTACCAGATAACGGATATAAATGTAAGATTTTTATTATACACATACATATATTTGATATACATCCATAACCCTGGAAAATACATTTTTATATAATATTTATCATACAAATATCCCTTGGCGGGATTCGAACCCGCGACCGCCTTGTGTAGTGACCGTGTCACTTACCACTACACCAGACGACCGTTAGATATGATTAGATTAGATCTAATTATTACACTATTTTGTTTTATTGATACGGAAAATAAAAATAAAAAAACACGTTGATAAAGTTTTTAGTCACAAATATTCGGTTTTTTTGGTAGGGACGTGGCCTATACTTGAGACCTCAGAACTTATATCTCAAGGAGGGTGGCGCATTTACATCGTAGATGTCTATGGGCTCCAGTAACCACTTAACAGCAGGTGGGCTGTGAGCTCGTCCACCCATTTAGGCAATAAATAAAAAAAGGCTTTCGCGTAAAACAAATATTCGAAAAATCTAACAAGATAGGTTTTGACTGTGATTTGTTAAGGAAAACGATGTAATAAAGATCACACAATGCTTAGTCTCGTTTAGTTCCAGTCAAAGATTATCCATAAATCCGATTCACAAGAGAATTTACTTAAAAGATTGTATCAGCGAGCTCGTGTGATGATTTTTTTCATTCAGTAGTAATTCAACAAGCTAAAGAGTAGACGGTGATGTTTGACGCTCGGCAGCGGCTTGCTGACGTCCATGGACGACGGTAACCACTCACCATAAGGTGGGCGGTATGCCTACAAGGGCAATAAAAAAAAGGATTTGCTTTTTCCATTAATTACATAAATTAAGAAGTTTATTTAAAGAAGCAGCAATAGGTATTATCGCCCGGGTCAAATCATGCATCACGGTAGAAAGTTTTATGTTAATCCAGGTTAGAGACTATCTTTTTAACCGACTTCAAAAAAAGAGGAGGTTCGGAATTCGACTGTATGTTTTTTTTTTTGTGTTTGTTTCCTCATAACTTTTGACTGGGTGAATCGATTTTGATGATTCTTTTTTTATTAGAAAGCTGACGCTTCTCGTGCGGTCTCAGTTCTGATAATGGTATCCATGAGAAAACCATATAAGTCTTAAATTTGCATTAAGTACGTGCGCGACAAATAGATGAATAACTCCAATAACTCAATATCACGCCAACCGATTTCGATGATTATTGTTTTTAGTGTATATTTATTTGTTTTGGAATATCTAATTTTTTTTCTATTTGAAGTCGGTTTTTGTTAAAGCATGTCTATTTACAATTATACTTGTTTGCGTTTTACATTCAATTACAATCAAAAACGTAGACCGGGCTTTGCGTGATTGAGTTAAAAATGCAAAATTAAAAAAAGCATTGACATTAAAATATTTTTTAATGTGATTTTATTTTTTATGTTCAACCAACTGGATCTACAAACACAAATATTTAACTCAAATAGAAAACATTGAAAACACTATTGCACAATATTATCACGCTTTTGAACGTGAAGCACAACTATGGCATAAAGTTGAAATTTTGTTTAATAATAATTCATTTGATAATAAATAAAACTAGAGGTCCCACAGTAGCTGAAATTCGACTAAAATAATTGGAATTGTAAGTTTGTACACCATTATGATTGTATTTTATACTTCTATAATCACAAATTCCGCCAAGTCTACACTATAAAAAATATTAACAAAGACAAACAATATTTAATCTATTCTCAATTTGACAACAGACGTCAAGAACAAAAGTTTGACAATAAATAGTAGGTATGCGTGTGTGCGTCAAATACATGGTATGTAGTGTGTGTAATGTTTTTTTTATTGATTTAATGTATCTTTTATGCATTATTTTAAAAAAATATTAGCATTGTGCAGTTCTTCTCTATATTCTCTATAAGTGTGGAAAATTTCATACTTCTCCGTCCGCGCAATTTTCGTAAAAAGGGATACAAAGTTTTTGCTTCACGTATTAATATATAGATTAATATACGGACTAGCGATGTCAGCCAGATGTACCTATACTCGCAGTTATAATTACACAGTTAATTGTTTTGATATCGAAAGTTCTATATTATTTTCTACGATTATTATTTTCTTTTCATCACATGAACTTAAACTTTTCGAATAGTTTACAGTTTGTGTGGTCACAGTGGACTGATCGTCGGGTATTATAGTAAGAAAATAATAAACGCCTGATTTTACGGTGAAAGTTTAATAATTATTACGACCTAGAGAATCGCAAAAAAATGTATTGAACCGGAATATGGTAATAGAAAAAAAATATATTCACGATCAAAGCGAGTAGTGCGTAATTAATGAGCTCCCGGCCCACCTGGTTTTAAGTGGTGACCGAAAACCATAGAAATCGCAACGTGAATTTCGCCATTCGCCTGACACTTAAGGTTATGTTTTATTGTATTTAATATTCTATCAAACGAGGCTTGCGGAGAGTACTTAATGGTAGGCAGCGGCTTGGCTCTGCCCCTGGCATTGCTGACCTCCATGAGCGACGGTGACCACTTACCATCAGGTGGGCCGTATGCTCGTCTGCCTACAAAGGCAATAAAAAAAAGCAAATTTAAAGAATGCGTGTTTGGTTCCATACGTAAATAAGTACGTATTTTATTTGGAAGTGATTCGTGAACTATACTGAGACCTGAGAACTCATATCTCAAGGTGGGTGGCGGCATTTACGTTGTAGATGTCTATGGGCTCCAGTAGCCATTTAATACCAGGTGGGCTGTGAGCCCGACCACTCATTAAGAAATAAATTAAAAAAAAACTTACTTCTCTCTTCGGTAACTCATACGAACCAAGTTACATTTCGTATCTCTATGTTGACTGCATTCAAAAGACCAATCCGTATTTTTAAGTTTTTTAACTGCAACTCTCAATCTTGTTTTGACATCATTAAAACAACTTTTACGGTTTAATCTAGCGTTGTTTATTATCTTAATATTCTCAACGGCCTTTCGAATACTCTACAATTGCCGTGGTCGCGTATAATTTTTTGTTTTTATTTTCTACTAGCTGACCCGGCAGACTTCGTAGTACCTCAATCGATAAATAAAAGACACATCAAGGGGACACATCAAAGGAAAAACAAAATTGTTTGTTTTTATATAATTCCGAGCTTTTTTTATATTTTTTCACCTTCCCTACACTTCCACGAATAATTCAAGACCAAAATTAGCCAAATCGGTCCAGCCGTTCTCGAGTTTTAGCGAGACTATATATTTAGAAGAGCAATTTATTTTTATATATAGAGATAACGGTTTTTTAATAGCTTCAGAACAGAAATAGGCAGGTCGCGTTGACACATTTCGATTCGCGTTTACGACCCGAAATGATATTAAGTACGCCTTTTTACGATTAACAAGATTATCGGATTTACAGAATCGAAGTACAGATTTGAATAAAATTTTCGACGGATCCCAGAACAAAACCGTTATGTGTGATTTGAAAATGAAAGTTGTTTTAACGGATCGTCAGCTGTCTTCGTTTGGAGACGGATCCGCGTGTTCAGTTTGTTTGTGTTGACTTTTGAACTTGTCGTGAGCCGATCACTGGTGTGCCGACAGTATCGTCGTGTATTCGCCGCAGTATATACATAGTAATATAGGTATATTCCCGGTGTTACGATTATAATCATTACCCGAGTCAATATCACAATCAGCACATTTTTCTTAATAAAAAACTGAATCTACATTCGCCAATAGCAGCTTTTTTAATTATTGCTTAGTTGGGTGGACTAGCTCACAGCCCACCTGGAGTTAAGTGGTTACTGGAGCCCATAGACATCTACAACGTAAATGCGCCATCCACCTTGAGATATAAGTTCTAAGGTCTCACTTTTAACAGTACAACGGCTGCCCTGCCCTACAAACCGAAACGCATTACTGCTTCACGGCAGAAATAGGCAGGGTGGTGGTACCTACTCGTGCGGACACTCACAAGAGGTCCTGCCACCAGTAAAACGTGTCGTGAAACTGGTAAGGTCGCCGGGCAACCGTCATACACAAAAAAAAACCAACATTTTGTCACAGCAGAGTGTGATACTACTAGTCTTCTAGAAAGGTCATTATTTTGTGTACAAACTTGTTTTATTTATTTGTGTGATTAATTTGAAACTCCGAAGCATTCGCGTGAAAGCAATCGGTGGACCGACATAACATAGTTTGGCGAAAGCCCCTCCTATATAAGATGCAATGGAATCTATTTAATTACAATAATACATGACTTTACTGGTGGTAGGACCTCTTGTGAGTCCACGCGGGTAGGTACCACCACCCTGCCTATTTCTGCCGTGAAGCAGTAATGCGTTTCGGTTTGAAGGGTGAGGCGTTGTAACTATACTTGAGACCTTAGAACTTATATCTCAAGGTGGGTGGCGCATTTACTTCGTAGATGTCTATGGGCTCGAGTAACCACTTAACACCAGCTGGGCTGTGAGCTCGTCCCCCCATCTAAGCAATAAAAAAAAAACTT